CCAACCACGGAGCCCATTTCCAAGCTTGACACTTCCCGTGGTTTCTACTATGTGGCTCATTACCTTCGCTAGGCCTGCTTCCACCCCCAGAAGCCCTGGGTCTGTCCTGGATTCTTTTTTTTTCTCCTATTTTTACATTCTGTGGGAGTACTGTAATATATTACATTTCAAAACTCTCTCTTACATTCACTTGACAACCTTAATAGCCAGAAGTCAAGCGAGAGCCTTCAGGAATTTCTAGTTGAATTCTGGAATTGACTTGATTTTACTCCATGGTTTGGAAGAATGAAAAGCCATTTGTACAGTATTGTACAGTACAGTTCAGTATTGACAGTGCTGGTAACCTTGCCAGTCCCGATGAAGCATATGACAAATATTCTTTTGTTGTTATGTGGACAGAGCATGACATAGCTTCCTGTGCTTTTCACCCTTCCTCAGCACCAAGGAAGTTGGGAAACTCTAGTTCTCCTATCAGGGCCATTCAAGCAATGTGAGCACATACTGTTTACTGTTCCTCAAAAGGAGCCCACCGGGGAAAAGCTGGGCTCTACTGGGGGTGCAGAGGTTCCCCCGAGCCACTGGAAGTCCCAAAAAGAGGGGCTCATCCATCAGCTGCCAGAAACTGTCCCCAAATAGGAACAAACTAAAAACCACAGAAACGTAGGCCCTTCTCAGGAAACCTCAAACATGGGTGTCTTGGGATCAGCCCAGACAGCCCAATATCAGACAGAGACGTTCACAACTCATCCCTAGCACTCTGTCAAGCTCCAGAGATTACTGTAAATGCAGTTTTGCTGGGGGATAAAAGCTTGGAGTCTGGGGACAGATCCGTTTCCATCCCAATCACCTTGAACTGACTACCTAGCGTCCTAAAGCCCCGGGATTTCTCCTTGATAAAGTGGGAATGGCCATAGTATTGACTCATACGGATTAAATGAATTAACCCACAGAGACGCCAATTCTGATGGCGGGTGAATAGAAGAGCTCAGAAATGCCAGCTATTATTATTCCTCACCCACTGCCTTCTTATCTTTTATGCTTGTAAGAAAGGTTAATGGGCATGCAGGAAGTTACAAATTTCAAATTTCAGGCATATTCCCCTATTACTTATTGTACCACCCGGAACAGCTCAAAACTCTACCACCCTGCCCTTGAGATAAGGAGACCATTCTACATGCAACAGAGTCAGCCGCAAGGAATCCAAGTCACCTACAGACACTTCCACAGTTGGAGAACGATATGGCATGTGTTCCCAGGATGGCATACCCCATGTGACACATGCCATGTGGATTTCCAAACACTGAGTTCCGAGTCGGCACACTTTCTGCTGATTTCAGTGGGGATGCTGACAACTTAAAAAAAAATCATTGCCTATAATCGCATCCAGAACGGATGCAAAAATGAGGAAATGATGGGAGTGGGCTGGACATGACTTGCTACATGACCACAAAGCACCTGCTGAGAAGTTGGTAGGTAGGACCTTAAAGTCCCACATTTCTTCAGTTTCCCTGCCATTTTTCAAAGGCAGATGGAGGGCAATAAGATGCTAGCAAACCATAAAGTCCCTGGGTTTTTCAAGGCTCATCATTGAAATCTTACCTTTGGAGGTAGTGCCGTCTTTCTGGGGAGGGGGAAGGCAGGAGGGGGCAATCTTTAATTGACCCAGTATCTCGGCTCAAGCTCAAATTTGCGTTCCCATATAATAGAACACGATAGAGCTATTTAAAAATACTGTTTACAAAGGGTTTGCAGCAGCATTTTAATATAAGCCTCTTCCCTCATTAGCTGAAGAAAAGAAGGGTGCAGAACTGGATAGGGTCTGACCTCAACTATGTAAAAAAAGAATCCAAAATGCTGACAGCAGTTGCTGCTACATGACGCAATCAAGGATCATTTTTTCTTTGCCTTCCTCTTATTCCCCAACCCCCCCCGCTACCCTGCAACTCTCTACGTGAGCCTACGGTTCTTTCACAAGCAGGGAAAAATATTTAAATAGCATGAGGTTTAAAATGGCACCAAATTATATTAAAACTCCATGAGGTTTGCAGAGATTTAAGAAGTCAAATTTTCACTGGTAGTGGTAAAAACAGCAACTGGCTGCTGGTGCCCAAGCCAGGCATAGACTGGATGCCTGGAACATGTCAAAATGCCTTCACCCATCACTGCGAAACTGATGAGGCAGGCTGTGGGTGGCCCAAGCCGTCTCTTCCCCTCCTCCCACTGTCTGTGTCGGGCTGGGTTATGTTTTTTGTTTTGTGTGTGTGGGGGGTGTGGGTGTGTGTGTGGTATGCTCATCAGTACCTCCACTCTGTAGCTTAGGAGCCAAGCGTGTGTCTATCCGTGCTCCTCTTCCCTATCAGTCCCGGAGGCAAGTGTGGCGAGAGGAAAGTGAGGTGCTTTTGAAGAGAGGGATCTGGGCATATCTGTTTTTTGGGGGGTCTCCAAGTAATTTCAAGGGCTACATCCAAGAATCTGCACATGGGATACAAGGAGTCTGAAGGGAACCACCATGCTGTCCGTGTGTGTGGCTGGGAGGGAGACAGTAGGCTTTGAACCCTCACAACCTCTTGCTGTGGGAGGGAACTGTCCTGACAGACAGAGTTGGGGGAGCGGTTGATCCTCAAGAAGTAAACACGACTTCAGGTCAGAGGTCCCATCAACCATAGCACCTCAACAGTCCTGGGACTCCCTCCCAACACACCCTCCACTTACTGGGAGCCCCCAGGGGAGGTGTCTAGAGGCTGGGGTACAGGCTGCAAGGCTCCCATAGCTGGGGGATATGAATCCAGCCTCTGAAGTTGCTCCAAGTTCAAATCCCTGCACTGCCTGTTGTAATGTTGGTCAGTCACTCAACAACTCTAGGCCTCCATTCTTCCATCTGTAAAATGGGGTTGGGAGAGAACTAAATCAGCTAGAAGTAGAGGGACTTAACACACAGGAAACACCATAAAAGTGTTAAGTCACAAAATGAAAATATCAATTTTTCCTTGTTAATTGAACCCTATAAATGAGACTACAGATGAGGGGTCTTCAAGTGGTACCCCATATAGATCCTGAGGACCTCGAGACTTAATCTCAACTTCCTCTCCACTAACAGCATGAAGCTGCAGCTTGACCCCCACCCCTTGACTTCCATCAAAACTGAAGCTTGGACAGCTGCACGGGAATGGCTGAATTGAACCCACAGGACAGGGAAGCCAGGCTATCCCATGGGGAACTATTTATAGGCAAGTGTTCCTTCACCTCCAATTCTCCAATGTGACAGTCTGGTAGGCTCAGCTTGGTGAAACAGTGTTCTTGTCAAAACACTTGTCAAAAACATCCCAAATCTGAAGAGATAATTGGTAAGGAGACCCAGGAAGGATGGCTACAAATTTCTTTGGCAGGGTTAATGGGCCTGATTGGCCTGACCAGGTTAGTATGTCCATGGGCATCCCTGGGTAGCAACTGTGCAATGATTGGTGGACATCTACCTCTCCTTTCCCCAGGAAATGAAGCCAGCACAACAGGAAAGATGATCAATGTATATTTAAAAAGAATGTGTATACAAACAAATTCCCTCCCATATGTTACTGGGTTTCCTCCAAAGGAAACAGATTCAATCAAATGCCTACCCAGCACTCGGCACAGTGTCAGGCTGAGGGGATTCATGGCCCCCTTTCCAAGAAGCTTAAAATTAAGTTGGCAGGGCAAATATGAACCACAGAGGCTAGGTATCAAGGCAAGACCTCAACAAGAAATCAAAAGATGATGGTGGTGGTGGGTAGCTCAGGGGACAGGGAAGACAAGAAGCCTCTAGGGGCTTGGACAGCAACAAAGAGAAGGTGGGGTTTGAGTCAAATACAGAGGACTCAGTAAATCACAGGAGAAGAAAAAGGAAAAAATCAGGCTGGGAGTAGGTACGATCACAGTGTAGACACAGGACTACACAGTGGTATGCATACAAGCTGGGTCGTAGGGAGGCTGTGGGTGCCAAGACAGTGTTCCAGGCCATCAGATGAGCAAAGGGTTTTTCTGGCTTGTCTAGTATAATCTCATTTTACAGCTGGAGAAATGGAGGCTAAGAGAGGCTAAATGATCCGCCTAAGGCACAGCTATCTGAAGAGGGACAGCAGCTGGGAAAACAGACCTGCCAGTATTCAATTAAGAATCTGAGCTGAGAGTCAACCGGCTGGCTGCCGAGAGAGGTCAAGCAGTGTCCAGGGTGAACGGCACAGTGCAGTTCCCAGCTATGGCTGTTCCTGGAGGTCACCTGAGACCTGCATGTTTGTTAATGACATGGACAAGAGGACCACTGGATAGTTTCTGATGAGTCCCTTGGTGGTTTCTGAGTTGACTTCCTCTTCCTCTGTGCTATCCCTCCCTCAGGTGAATTAAAAACAAAAATCTCAACTTGACCAGGGATGGTCCATACGGTGGGGGCGAGAACAGTCCTGGGAGATGAAAGCCTGGGGAGTCGCAAGAATGTCAGATCTCTAACCTCTCCTTGGCACATGTAGGCACAAAGGGCAGAAAACAAGCCCGTCTGTGGGTGGTGAGTGGGCCGCAGGGAGGGCACACCTGCTTCTTCTCTTCTTCTTCTTAAGCCTGTAATCGCTCATCTCTTTGAAGTTGTGAGAAATCAGGTACTTTGTACATTTCCAGTGTAAAGAAGACAGAACCAAAAGGTTAAATGTCTCAGGAAGGTGACTCAGGGATGGGGTCCGGGCTAGACCAGCATTCGTCTTACCCAGCAGCTATGAGTAAGTGGGGCTCATTCCCAGAGTGCAGGTGGCTGGTGCCTCATTATAGGCTGAGGTGCTGGAGAAGAGGGACTACATACGGGTCTCTAAAATTCCCCCCAAGCCTTTTCCAGGCAGGGGTCTCTATGGTATTAGCAAAGCAATGTTAGGGGTACAGTCTTATGTAGAGCTCAGGAACATGAGGGAAAATTAGAAACAGGCAGGTACCAAGTGGATCTTATCAAAAGCAGACATCTGAAGAACTGCAGAAAAACCAACCTTAAGTAACTGGCCGTCCCCAGTCCCCAAGAACAAAACAGTCCTGTTCATCACCATGGTGCCATAGACAGATGTCAGGTCAGAATGGATCAACGTAGACGATGCAATTGGCTGGACCTGTTCGGGCCGATCCCCTTCTTTCTGTACAGAAATGAACAAATAAGGGGGAAAATGATCAATTTTTTTTTTTAAAACTAAGTGCTTCTCTTCATACTGATTAAATGCCACTCATGAACTCTTAGGACGTTTGCATTTCTGAATCCCAGATACATCCTCTTCAACAGGATCCTTGGGAACAGCTTTCACTGGCTTCATCTGCCAAATCCCAACTCACCATGCTTGCCCAAGCCAGGGAAAGTGATGTGCATAACTGTGTATTCACATGCACTGATTGCCAGCACTGAGCAAGCCATCCATCCATCCACTTCCGGTACCTGACGCGAGCTCCCCCTTTTGATCTTTAGAGCAGAACTCTACATTATTGTCAGGAGAGAACCCACTTCTGAATTGAGGCTGGACGCTGTACTTTTCTGCATTTTAGCTAGGCATGGGCTTCTGTCACTTGAAAGGCAGACATTTCCCAAGATGCACCTCAGACCATCCTATTGGGTAGCAGGATCCAATCAGTGGGGTCGCAGAGGGGAGGGATTCTGAATGGACAGGGAAGCGCACTGTAAAGCCCAAAGATTCATACAGAGGGCAGAGGGCAGACAGACCTATGGAGGGTGGTAAGGCATAGTGACCCAGCTAATGAGGAACCGAGTAGAACTGGGCTCTCAACTGGCGCTGTCAAAGAGGAAGTGCAAACCCCAACCCTCAACCTAAATGCATTTCAATTGTCTGAGGCTGTGAGCACATGTAATCACATGCTCGCTCCCACTCGTTAATAAACGCCCTCTTTAAACCCGGGACCCTGAGAGTGTCAACCAAAATGTCTTTTCCTTTTTGTTGAAAAAGAATGAAGGGCCCCATACTGCTTCCTGCCTCCAACGACAGGAAGCTGAGTTTGTTCCACAAATCTCTGGAAGATAGGGAGCTGAGAGAGCGCCGTTGCCCACTGCAGCTACTGAACACAGTGTGATAACATGCTTTATCTGCCAGAGCCCGGTTCCCAACTGTACTATGGTTTTCAAAGGCACATTTTAATTCCAGCCAATGAGGGAGCCGGAAAACTTCAGTTAGCATCGCAGTGGCTCTTGAAATGGGACTGTTTGGGGAGTGGAGAGGTGGGCAGGGGGAGTCCGAGACTTATTAACTTCATTATATTATTGCCAACAGTGTTTATGTCTTTCAATTTATGTCTTATTAAATATTCATTCTCTTTAAGCCCACCAAGTTTCATTAACATCTCAACTAAATGGATTCATGGACTAAAATGACTTGGGAAGACTTTAAAGTGCCGCCGATATTTCTTTGTTGGTGTCGTTCTGTGAGTCGTTCTGTGAGCTGAGACAGCTCCCTCCAACACCCCATCACCTTTTTAAGGAAGGAATGCCCTATGGGAGGGAGTAGCTCATTTGCATTAAATGTTCTACAGCCAACTCCCTTGAAGACGACTTTTGGCATGTCCACTAGAGAAGTAGTTTTCCTGTGGAAAGACAGTACATCTCTTGCAACTGGAGAAGGCGGGGAGCTATCCTGTTAAGATTAAGTGAAGGGGAAAAGATCTCTGTGGGCCTGGGGACTGGAACAATAGACCACTGTTTAGATAAGGAAGCCTTGTGATTATGAGTAGAAGAAAAGCTGGATGACCTTTAAGCTAAAAAAAAGAAAGAAAAGAAAAGCCCCACATACACATCACACATCCTGACTTAAATAAAACCAGAACTGACCAAATGTAAGGTCAGTTTACCGTGCGTATTATTTTTTATGAAATATTTGAGTATCACCAGACTAAGTCAGGGAATCGGGCATCATTTCTGAGCTTCCAGAATGTTCTCACACTACTCTTATGTTTCAATAGTGGGCAACACTTCTTGTCATCTCACAACACAAAAAGAGTGAAGGCTGTGGTTATAGATTATCTGTAAGTACCAAATGGAACAGAAGGAACTAAATAACTGTTCCTGTTCCAGTTAGCCATGAACAATGATGTCATGGGAGGCCTTTGCTGGGGGTGGGTGAGACATCCTGCTTGCCAAAGATTGGCCCCAAATCACACAGACTGGTCAGAAAGCTGAACCGGGACAAGGGGAAAATTGTTCCCAGATTACAATCTTCTGTGTTCTAGCATTTTCCTTTGACTTCTGAGTTCTTCTCAGGAGATACAGTTTTCCAAACTAAGCCCTAGAGTGTTAACACAGCTCCGAGGTACAGTCATCCAATTGGTGTCCTCACACTTGAGGGCCTAGTGGGACGAAACACATCACCTGGGACTAGCCTGCCTTTGAACTCAATTCTCACTCACTGGACGACCTGGGTGGCTTTCTCTACTACCTGGCAAGGTCAATGTACCTGACTGGTAGGCTAGTTGTGAAGAATTTATAAGTGATCATACAAGTAATACTACCTATCACACCAGTATTCAGAGTGTGCTATATGACATGCATTTTATCACCTTTCCTGGCAAAGGCCGTATATATAGCACAGTGAACCCAACACCTGTGTTGAGCCTGGGCCCTGTTATTCTCTAGCTAAGTAACTTTAAGCCTGTTATTTCATCCTCTGTATCAGCAGTTCTCAGCGTGTGGGCCACAACCCCTTTGGGATCACATATCAGATATTTGCATTACAATCCATAACAGTAGTTATGAAGCAGCAAGGAAGTAATTTAGGGTTTGGGATCACTACAATATGAAGTACTGTATTAAAGGGTTGCAGTGTTAGGAAGATTGAGAACCACCGCTCTATATCATGGAAGGGTTGATAATGACATTTCTTCTCAACAGTTGTTATAAGGACTAAATGAGTTGGCACACAAGCATCGGTAGATTTTAGTGCCTGTCATACAGGAACACAGGTAAGCTGTGCTTGCTGTCACTATTTGAAAATGCAAACAGTTGCTACCACACACAAGGCAGTTTGTTCCCACCATCTTTGCCAAAAGACCTCAAATTTCCTTCAGATCACAATAACCTGAGCCAGGCAGAAACCACAATTTGTCCAACCAAATGACAATTCCAGTCACCATTGCCAGACACTTGCCCTCCTACCTCATAGAACCGTGGGTGCTCATTTCCAGCGCTAGCCAGAGAGATATAAGGTGCCCATCCCAGCGCTAGCCAGTGAGATATAAGGTACTCATCCCCAGCACTAGCCAGAGAGATGTAAGGTGCCCATCCCAGCACTAGCCAGAGAGATGTAAGGTGCTCATCCCAGCACTAGCCAGAGATCTAAGGCACTCACTGGAAGGGTTCCTGGGAACAGGTAACCTAGAATAGAAAACTCTTAGGGTAAGCCATTGCCTCCGTCTCATTCCTTCCCTTGGAATACAATTACATTATGTATAGAATATATAAATTTTATAGAATATACATCATGTGTAGGAAAAGGAAGACATTTTGCTTCCACCAAACCCAAGATGGAGGGTGAAAACCAGCATGCTGAGATTATCACAGGAGAAAGGAATAGGCCCCAGGTTCCTGGGGACAGAACAGACTAAGTTAACAGAAGCTGTCACGGGCTAAGCCACTGTCAACTGGATTTTCTTAAATCACTTTTTAAAAAACAAGACTGATAACTTGTTGATCAGGCATTGGGCCAGCAGGGAGGTCCTTAGACACAGTAGGAACTTTGTAGCAAACTGTGAGCCTGGGAGAAAATACAAGAGGAGGCTACTGCACTAGAAAACTCTTAAGGGCTTGCCGGACTGAATGGAAATGGACTCTTTTATGCTGGAAACACAGAGATGGACAGGTCCCTGTGAATGGAGAGAGGAACCCTCAGAAGGCCTTTCTTATGTTCGTTTCAACAAACGAAAACAAAAGAAAAGACGGGCCCCAGAGAAACCCCCTCACAAAAGTGAAGTTAATACCTAGGGAGCCAAGCAGAAAAGGGGGAAAATTGTGCAGGCAGCCCCCCGTGTCCAGAAATTGTTCTTACTCTTCTCCCCCTCTGGCCTATTTTCTATTTTGCCCTTCTCTCCCCTTAGGGCATAATTGTTAATGTCGCTCTCAGCCCATTCTGCCTAGTTTATTATGTGTAATTTCTCTTGGAGTCCCAGCCTCTGCTTGTTCGTCTGTGTGTAACAAGGTTAATGCCTTGTAATGATGCTTTTGCCACTTCTGCCTTTCATGAAAAAAAAAATCCAATCTCAATTTAGCTCTAAACCTTGCCTCCCTTTGGGCTTTCTTGGTTCCCTCAGAGTTGCCATTCCACTTCTCCTTCTTGCCATGTCTAACCATAACCACACGCCTACAGTTTGGACCTCGCTGAGGGGACACTTCTCTCAGCCAGAGGAAAAAGCGCTCTTGTCTCAAATGGGTTTAGACAGGAGGATAGAGGTTTGGACCCAACATGCAACCTGGGACCAGGCCGTTGGGAGGGGATGGGACGTGTGACAGTGGCCACGCTCCCACATGTGTGTGCCCACACTCAGGGGTACACAGGCAGTAGCGAGCGTAACCAGGGGAACAGGAATTGCCCTCCATGATGGATACCGTGTTCATTGGCAGTAAGCACTACAGCTGTGTCCCTCACATTGTACATCACACATCTCCTGGGGACGCCAGTCATGATTTCTACACCATGAAAGGCAAAGGCCAGCCTTAGCTTTGCCTCACCCTGTGGCCAATGATGCCACGTCCTCGAGGTACCAGACGAAGTTCTTGTGGTAAGATACACAGGAAATGTCTACAAAGCTGGGCCTCCAGAGTTGGGGACCGAGAGAGAATTGAGGCTTTCACTCAAACCCAGGGTTGAGAAGATTCCTGAACGTTGAATTTTTTTTTCCTTATAAGCCCAAAGGAGAGAGCCAGCAGCTGGTCCTTGTTCATGCTCAGGCTGATAAAATGCCTTCTTGGGCAGCTCCTTTTATAGTCTGTCCCCATGGACTACCCTTGTTTTCAAACAATGTCCCCATCATCTGCAATTTGTTACTCACCAGGGACCCCACTTGCAGTCAGGAAAACTCTGCACCCAAGTTCTGGTCCCTGCTCCACACTAACTTATGGCTCGATTGCAGCAAGTGGGTTTCTGCAGGT